TAAATAATGTAATTTTTCCGTGTCAGGATTTACTTACCAAAAAAATTAATAATGAAGAGTACTTTGCAAAAGTCTTCATTCAACCACTTTATCGTGATAAGATATTTTATAAATCTATCCTGTAATGTGTGACAAAAGAGATAGAGGTAGAGGAATGCGTTTTCCAAGGGAATTAATGCATCTCTGTTTTCTGTGCTGATAACAATGATCAGCTCATTCTATCGCTTCAGAAAGTAATTGTCACGTTCTGTCGTGCTTTAAATTTACAAGAGACAGATGAAACCAAAGATGAAGCATTTCAGCCATATTTGGGCTGGCGCTGCTCAAGAGTCCTTTCTAGATTTGATATTCAAAATTCTTTGCGCTGCCCTGTGGTAGATGATTCATTTTCCACTCTGCAACCTCTTTCCCACAAATGCGCCATTGCAATCCTATCACCATTCTATCGGTATGTCATGTCAACTGTTCAGATGAGCTTCAAGAATGTGGAAACATCTTTGTTTCGTCCTTGTCTCAAATATAGAGAAAAAAGCTCCGCTCGGTATTTGCTAAAACTCTTCAACATTGTGAAACAAATTCCTGCATAATTGAATCCTAGACACTTCATACATAACATCTTTGTGTCAAGGTTAAATCCTAATTTCTTGTTCTAATCCTTATTATCTTCATTACTAATCACCTTGTTTTTCATTCCTACCACACTACCTTATTATATTTTGACTGTAATACTTTGCTTTGAGTGTCTCTCTGGCCTTGTATTGAGTAAATTTTAGTATAAAAGAAAAATATTAAATTATATCTATCAACTGTATTATTACATACATGGCAAATATCCAGATGATTTCCATTCTCTAATTCAACTATTATGGGCCTTTGCAGATAGTACCCATCTTGTTACTTCCTCGTAGAAGAATCATCCACTTTCACTTCATGTTCCAAGTATAAGAAGAAAGTTCCACTCAAACATCATTTTTCCCAAAGACTGACGCCTTTTGAAATAAAATCCCTAGTGGTTACTTTCCAGAACAATTTAAACTTGACTTATTTTAAAGTCAAAGATCAATCTTACGTCTTGATGATCCCAATCTTTATTTGACACCAACTTTTCTTCCATTCAAATAACAAACCTCACTCGGCATTCTTCTTCTTCTTCTTCTTCTTCTGTGTCATATGTCCCTTCATGACATGTGCGATTATGACTCTTCACAACTACCTGTCCTTTGAAGTTCTAAGTAAAGTTTGTATTTTCACTATTTCTCCTAATCCCTTTTCTGTCAATAATTTCCACAAGCTTTTTGGGTTTGTTATTCCCTGTATCCTCTGTCCCTCTTATCTTCAGTATGTCTTGTCAGCGTCAAATTTTCTAAGCCCTTCTTCCTTATTATGTGCTCGAGAAATTTCAACACTCTTTCAGATCCCCTTTTTTAATGTAACCCCTTACATTGAGTGTGTGACAAGACTTTTATTTTTTGAATTTTAAGAGAAAAAAAATACCATTACTACAAATCTATAACAGATTTTATTCAATCCAGTGTTTTCATCGTTAATTATCGATCTTGTTAAAACATTGAGAATATGGTTTTATAAACACATTAATTTAGTAAATATTTCAGCATTATATTTTTGTCATGAAGATAACATCAAAATTTAACTAACTTTAACATTTCATTATATTCAAGCAATCAGTTCCTTGCAAACGTTTCTTTCAGAGAACAATGTTTCTAACAATATGAATTGTTTATGTATTCTATGTCATTAGAAGAAAGATAATTAAATGAATACACCAAAGATTTCATTCATTCAATGATTACATATGTAGTGATATATATTATGATTACATTTGTAGTGATATATATTATATATAAAATAAAATATGTTTGAGAAAGATTATTAGGCGTCAGAAACTGAGGTAAACATTGCTGCCTCAAATGTTATTAAAAGTTTGAAATCTTTAAAAAATATTTTAGCGTGAATATTTTTTATATAGATATTTCCCAATATGAATCAAAGAATATAACTAAAATTGTTGTTAAACAAAATGATATTTTTGCAGTTGTAAATTTTTCAATTTAGGTATAATTTCGATCCCGGCGAATCTGATTTTCATCTGTCAGGTAATCATTTTTTAAAACACCTAAGACTTGTGATCAATCGGCACTTTGTTGGGATTTCAATACTGTTCGTAATTAAATAAAAAACATGTACCCCTAAGTTTTTTTTTGTTTTTTTTTTTTTGCACAGAAATATTTTCAACGATAAATTCAATCATTAACGAAATAAAAGAAATGTTTATTAGATTTCAGAGTTGAATTTCAGTAGAGTTTAAAAATGCTTTTGTTTCTATAAGATTTTCCCAGTTAAAATTTTCAACGAGTGAAAATTTAAGACAAATACATTCATTTGTATATATTTAAGAAAAATAATTTTTGAATCGGCAAATTATTTCGTTCTTTCTGATTACGGGTGATGCAAATCGATAAAAAAAAAGTCAATAATCTCTTAACAAAAAGAAAATACGTTATTATTGGATTTTAATAGCACAGTGTCTATCATGTCACTTTAAGTGCTATTTGTATCATATATCCAAGTACTACCTATCGCAATGACGAGTCATCGAAAACTACAGGGGTACTTTCACTAGACTTTCTGGAGAGTAGCGATGCTACACAATCACAACAAAACTTGACAAGCGGCAGATGGACCTTCTTGAAGAGTCATTGTCTATATGGGCGGGGTATTTCCTAGAGTGTAATCCTTGAATGTAATCAACGCCCAGTTGTCACTGACCAAGGCGATTTTCAAATTGAAGGACACACTGCGGGTTGACGTAAAGAAGGATGGGTTCCACCAGGTCTTCTTACACAAGAAACATTACGCATGAATGGATACCTCTGCGGCTTTTAACGCAGAAAAATTGGTCAACGTGCAGAGAATAAGTCAACGTGCAGGGAACTGGTCTGATACTCATCTGCGCAGAGAACCTACGACCAAACCTGGCTTTTGAACCGATACTGCCACTGCTGTTACTGTTGCTGCTGCTGCTGCTACTGATGGTAGCATTTACGAAGGAATGTAAGAGTAACTTTATTGGTTCGGAAATTAGAATCGGTGCGTTCAAATTCCATACACGTTTGTTCACTTTTTCATTATGATTTTCGGAAAGATATCGATTTATTTCATCTCCCGTCACATGTTTCAAATCGCATGATAGACTCAGTAATCCACAGATAATAATGAAATAGAATACGTGGAGGGCCATGATCGACTACTTCCTGGTGCGACATCGTATTAAAATATAGGGAATGAAAATACCCAATTTTTGTACTTGTGTTAAGATAAATAAACCCTGTTACCTCAGAACATATGGTTCACTCGTTATTTCAATTCAGTAATCAAAATCATTCCCTTATCGGAATCTACACATCTACCACTACTCGTCTAAAATTGAGAATCTTACTAGAGACTGGGATCGAGAATGTTACCAAAATTTAGTATCAGGAATCTTACTAAAACCTGGAGTCAAGAATATTACCAGATCCTGGGATCAAGAATATTGCCAGGAACAGGGATCAAGCATCTTATCAAAATCTGGGATCATGAATATTATCAGCACTTGAAATCAATAATATTACCAAAATCCGAGATCAAGAATTTAAATAGAACCTGGGATCATGAATATTACCTGAACCTGAGATCAAAAATCTTATCAAAACTTGGAATCAAGAATATTTCCCAAACCTGAGATCAAGAATCTTACCAAAGCCTGGAATCAAGAATAGTATCAGAACCTGGGATCAAGCAACTTATCAAAATCTGGGATCAAGAATATTACCAGAACCTGGGATCAAGAATATTACGAGGACCTGGGATCAAGAATATTACGAGGAACTGGGATCAAGAATCTTACACAAACCTTGGATCAAGAATCTTATCAGAACCTGTGTTCAAGAATATTACCAGAACCTGGGATCAAGAATCTTACTAGAACCTGGGATCAAGAATCTTACTAGAACCTGGGTTCAAGAATCTTACCAAATGCTCGGATCAAGAATATTAGCAGAACCTGGGATCAAGCTGCTTCATTGTAGATAAATCAGACCATAATCGGATGTGTTCGATACGTTAGTCGTTTTTCACCACTTCAGTGATCATTTACCAAGCGCAACAGTTTTTGCATAAGGCCACAAGTATGGAGCACCAGTGCGGATCAAACTCACTACTATGGATCTGCGTGGTAAGTTTATAGACCATTACCCCCCCCCGACAAGGCGTCCTTTCTTGTTGAAGGATAGGGGAATGTAAGTAATCAGTATATTTTCGGAGCCATCGTGATGGAAATTTATCGTTCATTTAAACTATAAACATGTTTAAACATGGCAGAGCTGTATTTCCTTCCTTTACAAGCTTTGATAAACCTTTAACTGAATCATACTGATGTTTAATGCATAGAGAAATGACACAGAGGTATAGATTTCAGCGGAATTAGGTTTTAAGACGTACAAGGGGTGCTGAAAATTTCTCGGCTTGATCCAACTCACTTTCCAAAATCAGTATTCTGAGGTTTGATCATTAAATATCTAAGTTTGGGCAGTGAATAGACTCTGGGTGTTTTCAACACATACTATCATAACAAATCTATTCTGTCGATGAAAGACAATATTATTTGAAGTTAATTCCTAATTGTGTTGTTATTAAATGTGAAACCACATGAATATGAGGTAGCTGTTTTGAAATTTATTAAGATTAAAGTAAGAAAATAGTTTAGATATACGCGTTAGTGGGATTAACATTTCAAGTCCAATTTACAGCCGTGGATGCTGCATTCGCTTTCACGCAAATACTTTTCGAAAGGTACGAATCAATCCCTTCTTTCCATAACTAGGGATTAATTGTAGGGCAGACTCGGCTTCTCGGTTCTGAATATCAAGGACATCACTGAATTCCGATCTCATTGGGCTTGATGCTAGCAACTCAACACAACCCTACTAGCTACGGGCTTGCTATCACATCACGTTGAAACATCGATTCCCGTAAGATCACCGAAGTTAAGCAACGTCGAGTCTAGTTAGTACCTAGATGGGTAACCGCTTGGGAATACCTGGCGCCGTAAGCTTGGATGTGTGGGACTTGTAATGTACAATGGCACGGAATTGTTAATCAGAGAGCCGAGTTCCAGTTCCAGTTCCAGTTGTGTTACGTTATAATCATTTACGCGCAAATACCCTTCTTCCCCCAGCTATGGGTTAATTAGTAAAACTTGTGTCACTAAAATCATTATTATCTCTCCCACAAAAAAACAAAAAAACAAAAAAAAACCTTCGTACAAATATTTAAATTTCGTCATTAAATAACTTAGAGATTTATATGCTTCTAAACATAAGCAACAAACCAAATAATCAACTACTAGCTACAAAAATAACAGTGACAACACTTTATCCTCCATTGGAAGGCTACAGAATTAACTACAATCTGTAGTTAAAGGCATTTATTTTACTAAAAGTTTAAAACTATTTTATAGATAGCATTTAAATGAATGCTTAACTACAGTTAATCTAGTTATTTGTGATTTTCAATACATTTATATTATAAAATATTAAAATTCGATCCATCAATCTCGTGAGATCATAGATCTGTGTTTCGGATGATTTTATTCTGTTGTTGGTAGCAGCGCAACGTATATTGTGCCTGCGCGGACACACATAGGAGCGGAAGTCCCATCTCCACCGACTGTACTTGAGGAAATTCTCCAACAATATTACCTTCATACTGTCTTTTCTTCAACTGTGCTCTTCTTCAGCGAAAATTTCTATGTTCTCCTTCCAACTCTCTTTGTAGTTCCCATCTTCATGTGTTTTTTCCAGCGTTTGTGAGACAGGGATGGAATTGCCATGCACTCACTTGCCAGTTGGGCACTGTAAAATATAGGTATTGGTAATTCAGATTGTCCATTTGACGTCTCCAGTATTTTGTATACAGAGAAGGAGGAAATGATTAATAAACCCATATACAATGTATTAAACATCTCCTTGGACCGTGTCTCTACATGATATTGATTAACATACCTCGTCACAGCTTCATATACTTTTTATCTCTTAGTATGGTTTGTCTTTTCCATATCCATCTGATTCACTGTTCTGCCATTCATTTACATATGCTCCTTGGGTAGGCTACTCAGTGCTCTCCTGTTTCTTTACCTCTGTCTAGTTCAGTATATTCTGCGAATATCAAATCCTCCAAGCCCTCTTCCTTTATTATATGTGGACGATTTTCTGATCCTTTGGTCAATTTCCACCTTGGTGCCAAAAAGCTGAGAGTATTAACAATGAGTTAAAAGTTGTGTTGAAGTAAACGAATTTTACTTTGAAACCAAATCAATTACTTTTTATAAGTTATTGTTTGTTAATTTTATCCTCACTGTGTACACTAGTATCGTGTAAGAACTTTATATTTTGTCAAGATTAACCACTGCGATATAGGCTTATATTTACAGCATAGTTTGCTGGAAAAACAATTTTCTACTTGTCAGACAATACCCAGTTAGATGCAAATTCAAATTCAGGGACTTATTTCGCGGATTTAAATTTAAGAGTCTGTATCTTTGTTATGTACTAATGGAAACTCGAGGTGGTAATATAGCAAGCTCGCAAAACAACGACAAAACAATTTTCACAAATATGAGGGAATTTCAAACAAGAAGAATGACCAAGAATAATAAAACGCACATGTCATTCCACATATTCATTTCACAGTTCGACAATATAATCACTTCGTTTTTCATATTTCTTCAAATCTTTCCAAATCGAAGATATAATAGATATTGGTAATTGATTGTGCAAAGTGGGTTGAAAACTAGGTCAATGTTCTTCGGAATACCTATAAATTTATACGTTCTTTTCTTAACCATTTCACCCCCAAGCAAGGCAATATAGCCACTAAGACACAAAGAGTTACAGAGTGTGAAAAAATAAGAAACTAAAAACGTTATTAAGGAGCGAGAACAATCAAGAGGAATCAAGAATACAGAAGATAACGATTGGCATTGGATTTAAAGTTTTGAAGATCAAAGTTCACTAGAAAGCAAGAAGCCCGAAGAGAGTTTAACTTCCAGTGACATTTAGACATTTCAACTATAAAATGATATGTTGCCAATCTAGTACAGCGATTAAATTCATAGATTCGAGGTACCATGGAGGAAAGTTCATCAGAAAAATTACCATGAAAGTATTTATAAAAAGGCACAGGGAAGGTAGATTACGGCAGTGGGAAAGCGACTGAAGCTGAGATGAACACGAACAATCAGAATACAGATTCTACTTTGCAGTATTGGCGAATGGTAGATTTGTTAATCGGTAAGATAGTTTGTGGAGAGAAACACTGTCTTATACGATACAGTGAAACAACTTTCCTAGCAGCAGATTTAGCAGTTGATTCAATATAACCTTTCTACTTCCTGACAGCAGAAAACTTTTGCTCGAGAAGACGCAACGTCATTTTCCGGAAGTTAGCATCAGCCATACTGATGAAAGACAGAAAGAAGTATCTCTGATGATTAATAGAGAACAGTTTTGTTTTGGAGGCTTTAAAATTATTCTACTTGTATTGTAGAAAATTATGAAATTATTTGAGTAATTTTCCAAATGAGTCGGTTACATATGTGCATGAATAATTTAGATTTTTTATGCATTTAAATCTAATGTCACCTGATAAAAACCTTCTGGTTTTTAAATATTTAAAAGTAAACATACAATAGAAAACTAACACTAAATAAAGGAACTAAAAATCAACATAATAGCAGCATGATCTACCAACTTTGTTTACTAATATTCCGTTTTTATGGTAACATGAGACGTTTGATTATTAGCGTTAGGAATGCATCTAGTTACTATAACTAGGGAATATCCTAGAATAAAACGGGGAGATCATGCTGCGTGAGCAATTAATATATAAAGCTATATTGTGTTTTACATTAGAGAATACAAAATTATTGTCACTGGTGTAATAGTGACTGCGCCAAAAAATAAACTGTAAGAGAAATGAAGAATGAAACTCAGAAAATTTGGAAGTATGAACGAAAAGAACAAAAAGGAAAGGAATAAACGAGAAAGTAGTCGATAGAGAAAAAAGACAAAGACAGAATAGGGAAAAAAAATATCCCTCTATCTCTATCTCTATCTTTCTTTCTCTATCTCTATCTCTATCTCTATCTTTCTTTCTCTATCTCTATCTCTATCTCTATTTCTATCTTTCTTTCTCTATCTCTATCTCTATCTCTATCTTTCTTTCCCTAAATTTAATTGTCAAACTGAAGAGAAGAAACAAAGAAAAAGAAAAAGAAGAAAGAAAATAATTAATAAAGCCCACCGTAAAATTTGATATTAATTATAAAAATTAAAATAAAAAAAAAAACAGTTATTAATTATTGATTTCTAAAAAATACGGTTTTAAGTATAGATTTCTACCCATAATCGTCTAGTTCCCAACGCCCCATTTTTAGGGACAGTGGACATTAATGGATTAATAAAAAAGATGGAGATACAAGAGAGGGAGAGACAGACACACACACACACACACACACACACACACACACACACACACACACAGAGAAGAAATACCGACATAGGCAACCTGTTTTCCCAGAAGTATATATTAATATTCAAATTACTAAAATAATTATATCATTTTTTAAAAGTATAGATCAGTCCTGAGTGTGACGATAAACTACATCCGGCAGCACGGTAGCACGTGTTAGGAGCCAGCTATGAGCAACTAGTGAACCCACAAACAAAAACGTAACATTATGAAAGTATAAAAAATGCCAGCAATAAATTTTTACATGAAAAATAACATCAATAACTATTTATATTAAAATTACTAAAAAGTATATTTTATCTGTGGTTGAAGGCATATAATTGCGTTCAAAATATTTAGATTTCGGCACTAAATAACCAATAGAGATATTGATATACCGTTAAATAAAATCAACCAACCAAACAACCAACATGAAAGAAGGCTTTTAATCTATATAATATCCTAGAATTTCTTAAATCAAACAGTATTACAATATAAAACTTTAACAAAACTACAGCATGAAACACATATTATTACCTCCAATAATTATGTCCACACAAACATTTATATGCACACAAGCTGAATATCATCTACCATGTATTCAATTGTGAAAGCAGAATAACATATATCATATTTTTATGACTTCAAAGCTTCCTAGATTAAATCTCGGCATAAAGCGTTAATATTCCATTAAACAAGCAGATCAATCTATAAAAGTACGGATAAACAATTATATAATAATATTTAACATTTCACTTAGAAAATCAACCTACCAAGCGTAGTAAGACGGAAAAGTCACTACGCCAGTAAAGATCTGCAAGGTAAGTGACTTCATGGTGAGATGAGCATATACGTGTTTCGTTAGGCCAATAAATCTTTCAGAGTGAAGATTGCAGTCTTAACGGCCTCTATGAATATCTTATAAAGAAAACAAATGAAGAATTTACATCGTTCGGGCTGTTGTCCTCATATTTACTGCCACATTCACGACGTTTCAGCCGTTATACGCTCCGACCTTCTTCAGATGATATACGGCTCAGTAGATAAAGGCGTTGGTTGAGTAATCCAAAAAGTGACTTGAACCAAAGACTTGTGAGTTCAATAACTGGTCACAAAAACTAAAGGAAACAAAAACCTTAAGAGTTGTTGTTATTAAAGGAAATTAACAGATAAAAATGGCGTGATACGAGGAATTAGAACAATCTACTCTCGTAGACTAAATAAAGAGTTCGAAATTCCAACGTATATCACCTGAAAAAGGTCGCGATACGAGCATAAAGATGAGGTCACAACTGTCCGAATGATGTAAATAGTGTAAAATGAAGAAAATCTAAACGATAGAAACACCAGAAAACGGCGGAAACTAGCGTGACTGAGTGAGAACCATACCTGCTGAAATTTAGGAAACAGAATTGCTCTTATTAAAAATTTTGAAAATGTCCTCATAAACTGATATAACTTTTTCTACCCTCTCTTCTCAACCCTTTCGATCTTAATGTTTTTGTTTTTTTTTTTTAATTTCATATCCGTTCGTGTCAAAGGT